GGTTTAAACGTGAAGGTGTTTCCTTACCAGCTCTGTATTCATTCACACAATGAACTGAGGAGCCTCTCTTGTTTCTCGGTAAGAAGAGTCCAGACAAGACCTTTGTTTTCCACTTCATCAGATGCAAGCATTTTTTTTTTTTTTTTTTACTCCTGTCCTCCTGGAACAAAGGCTGGAGAGCAGCCATCACATTGGGCTCAAATGGCTCTCTTAGACCGTCCTGTGCAAGCAAGGGGAAAATCACACCATGTCTTCAGATTGCCTTTCTGGGAGCATTATATACTTTGTTGTGACACTCTGTTTTTGGATGTCTTATAATTATACATTTCATACATAAAGTGATGTTTTAAATGTGGTGTAAATGTCTTTAGGACATGGTACCATGGATATACCACATGGGTTTTTGGTGCTGGTAATTTTCTTTGATTGCACTATGGTATGTAATGAAGCATAATGATATTACCATCTGGGACTATGACCAAACCAGCATACTCCCACAGTATCCAGCATTTTTTAAGTTTGTACTTTATTTTTTTTAATAGACTTACGTATGTGTGTGTGTGTATATATATATATATATATATATATATATATATATATATATATATATATATATATATATATATATCGAAGTATCATTGTATTGCCTTCTGATACTACTATGCCAAGTTACTGCAACAGTACTCAGTATTTTATTATTATTATTATTTTTTTAATTTAAATACGAGTACAAGACTAGTTTTTCTCTATGGTATCATAGAGTGATTTTTGGGTGGGACATGTCCCCACCACTTTTTGCCAGGGTCGATTTTGTCCCCACCACTTTTTGAAACCTCTCGCTGCACGGATATACCTAATGCAAATGAAACGCATCCAGTTTACATTAATTTGTCTTAAATAAGAGGCGATCTGGCGCTGTAATGTGTTGTTTTTGAATTCATGCTGAGTGTTTGTTGCCAATGTTATGAGTGGCGAATGTTCTCTTTTGGCTCGTGCACAGACTTTACACAGACGAGTGCTTCAATGTATCGCTTAATGCCGATGCAGAGAGACTCTGTTCTTTCCGGTGAAATCAAAAAACAAAATGTACACAAACGTGTCCCTGCTCTTGATATACAATCATTGATTAACATCTTAGATTTTGAGGAAAAAAAAACTATACACAGGCGGATTAGAATCCGTAACCTCTGACGCACTTAACAAAAGTTCTACCACCAGACCATTAGGTAATACGAATACTGATTGCGGGTCCATGTATTTGTTCACTAACGTGAAGAAACCTGGGACTAACAATATATATTTTATTATTGTAGATGTAAGAATGCAACTATTACTTTAAACGTGTTCCATGTCGACACATAAAACTTAATGTACTATTGAAACTGATTTCTGGACATCATATTGTTTTTTTTTCTACAATTGTTATTGAACATATCTGATATAGCATTGCGTTACCCCCCAAACACATTTTTTAAAACAAAGTTACTCCACTGTATGGTATATATCTTAAAGAAGTCTTGTCATCTGATACTATCTCTACACAAGGGTACAGCTACAGTACCTTTTATTTTGTTTGAAAAATATAAATAAAAGGCCTTTAATGACTTTTTAACCAAATTACTTGTTTGTTTAAAAAAAGTTTAAAAAAAAAAGGGTAGTATTTGTTAGGTTTGTTCAGAGAGTGCCCTCATCATAGGCATAAACAAGATGTATACATGTAAGTGCTCCTCCGAGAGCCGTGTGACCTTGCAGTTGTTCTTGTATGAGGAGGTGGGCCAAGGTGCCCTTTGTTGTATTGGGTTGTCACTTTGAACTCTACTTGCTCTCTGATGGAAGTGCCAGCGCAATTATGGACTCCATTTGCCATCATTCATTCTCATCTCCTAAAACCTTAATCCTATTTGTGCCTCATCATACTCTCCATTATATCAAGCTTAGCCTTGTTTACTCCACTTGGAGGAGGAACATGCATTTTTCTTTTTCTTTCTGTTGCGTTGTAATGCTGAGATTTACTTGTATAGAAGCTCCAAAAGCCTGCTATCATATGTGGTTAATTGTTCAGGGTTTGAAATGAACACCCGCCAAATTCAGGTAAAAATCGACTGTGGCGGGTACCAGTGTCAAATCTCTAGCCAATTAGCCGTGTTACTTAATGTTTACTCACTTTGCTGGGGAAGTTTGTGTAAACCAAATTTCCGCTGATTTAGCGCAAATACTGCACTCGTGAGTCATCCTGGTATATTAAATACAGCGTATTGCGCAGAATCTGCTCATATCTGGCTTACTTGAACATGCACTTCACTAAGCAACAAATAACGGCCCACTTGTTCAGTTGCATTGAAGCAAAACCGAAGATTAAAAAGCATTTGGTTAACCGAAAATACATTGTTATTTTCCAAGATATCCTACCTCGTTTTGATGTTCTTTGTACTGTGTTGATCTGTCCACCTAAAATACATTTTTGGTGATGAGGATGAAATCTCATCACCAATCTATCTATCTTAAAAAAAGAGAAATATATTTCATATAAAAATAAACTAACACAAATCATAAGAAAAAGAAAACGAATTCACTATACCGAACTGTTAAAAGGTTCGCAGGGGGACTGCAGGAGGACATGGAATGTTCTAAATGAAGTTCTTAATAGGAGGCATAAACCGATTGTTCTACCTGACATTGGTGATGCCAAAGCTGATCTAACACAGACTTTTAATGATCATTTTGCTTCAATAGGTGCAAATTTGTCTAAAAAGATAAGCCAACCCCAGGATGTCACCTTTAAGCACTTTCTCTCTGGTAGCTACACTCATTCATTTTTTTTTGATGCCGACAGACGGTACTGAACTCCTCAAGATCATTTTGGACTTGAGGAGCTCATGCTCAGCTGGTGTGGATGGAATATGCAGTAGGATCATGAAGGCAGTAGCGAACATTATTGTAGAACCATTGGCTCATTGTATTAATCTTTCTTTATTTACTGGTACTGTACCAAAAATGACAAAAATTGCTAAGATAATCCCAATTTTTAAATCTGGTGACAGAAATGATATGAGCAATTACCGGCCCATATCAATTCTACCCACTTTCTCTAAAGTAATGGAGAAAGTGGTACACAATAGACTTAGTGGTTATCTTGACAAATTGGATATTCTTGTCCCTTCACAATATGGTTTTAGAAAAAAGAGCACAACCTGTATGGCAATACTCGACTTAATAGAACAAATTAATGACTGTATTGAAGAGGGAAAATGCGGTGTTGGTGTCTTCTTGGACCTATCAAAAGCATTTGACACCATTGACTTTGATATCTTATTATACAAATTACATCATTATGGTATCAGAGGTCTAGCACTTGAATGGTTCAGAAGTTATCTAAATGAGAGGGAACAGTATGTCCATGTCGATGATCAAAACTCTACTTGTATACCTATAATCTATGGGGTCCCCCAAGGTTCAATCTTGGGTCCACTTCTATTCATTATATACATAAATGATTTTATAAATTCCTCTAAAATATTTCATAAAATAATTTTTGCTGACGACACAAATCTATTTGCATCACACAGAAACCCACATATACTACAAGATATAGTAAACTCAGAGTTAACTAAAGTTGACTCCTGGTTTAAATGTAACAAACTGTCATTAAATATTAGCAAAACAAATTTCATTTTATTTAATGCGAACAAAAAATCAGCTTTTTTAAAAAACACTGCACAATGCCTGATTAAAATCAATGGGCAGGTAATAAAAAGAGTATACTCAACAAAATTTTTGGGGGTCCTCATTGATGAATCTCTTAGCTTTAAATGTCATATTGACCATCTAGTAAATAAATTATCAAAGTATGTTGGCTTGTTTTATAAGATCAGGCACTTTCTTCCTCTGTCTGCCCTTATGATGATGTATAAAACTCTCTTTGAACCACATCTTATCTATTGTAATGTGATATGGTGCAACACCTTTACAAGTCATCTTAAAAAACTCGAAACCTTGCAAAAGAAAGCCATACGGGCTCTGTCCTGGTCGGAGATAAATTCCCCGACCCGCCCCTTTTTTATCACTTTAAGATATTAAGACTGGCTGAGCTAAATAAATATCATAATGCCTGTCTAATGTTTCAAATCGTAAATAGCCTGAACCCTAGGTTGAGTAGTCTTGTTCCTATCTACAGCCCCCGGCATACATACCAAACGAGAATCAAACCACTTATATTCGGAAAATACCGCCGACATGTGCGCACCAGTGTGAGTGTTGTTTGTAAGGGGCCGCAGATCTGGAACGGGATTGATGATGGTCTTAAGGTGTTGCCCACTATCTCCAACTTCAAAAGACAATTAAAACATAAGTTCTTATTAACCTATATCTAATTCTAAAACTGACTTTCATGGATTACTGGGATGTGTGTATGATTGTATGAGTGAGTATGTTGTTAATACGTATGTTGTGGTATTCCCTGTGTGCACTTATTGTGTTCTCACTGAACCTTGTTTATAATTACTTGTACAAGAACCATGGGCCCCTATTTATAAGCTTTTTAGCTTCTTTGGGAGACCCATTTCATGATACTTAACCTACTTTGTATCTTCAAACTGTACTATTGTAATGTGTTGAAGAGGTATTGTATTGTGAATAAACAAACAAACAAAAACAAAGAGGAAGGTTAGGAGATGGCTGGATGATAAATGGCTGATTTAGTTTGAATAAGAAATGAATGTATCAAATCAAAATTTTATTATATATATATGTTATGTAGTTAATCTGATTTATTTATTTATTGGTTTAATTTTTTTGGCTAGTAGAAGTTCTGAATGGGCGGTAACTTAAAAATGTAGTAGCCAAATTGGCCGGTGAGTGAATTTTTATTTCAAACCCTGTTTGTGTTATATGTTCCTAGTAACGTTAAGAAAGGAAACTCAAACCAAGTGATAAACCATCTGAGATGCTCTAGTCTCAAAAACTGCACAAGTTTTGACTATCATTTTTGTCTTATTCTGAAGGGGTTCTTCCTGACCGTGTCCTTGGAGTCGATCCTGAAGATAGCCAAACACGCTTCTGAAAACAACAAGATCTTCTGCTTGAATCTGTCGGCTCCATTCATCTGTGAGTTCTTCAAGGAGGCCCTGATGAAGGTTATGCCCTATGTGGACATCCTTTTTGGCAACGAGACGGTGAGTGTGTATGTGGACTCACGTGACATGAAAGTATATATAAAAGAAGCTAGTTCCTCCTATCAGCCCATGTCATCATGTAACACTTATCATCTATTGTACAGTTCTTGCTGTGTGCTTGATGTGGTCAGTTCCCTGAGACAGGTCAGATGAGAGATTGCACATAGGCTTGAATGGACAAGTAATGCAAGTGTTTTTTAGTTTTTTTTTAAATTATACATGTAGAATAGTCATCTCACCTCAAATGTATGCCTTCCAGCACTGACTCTACTCATTGTGAGAGTAACACCACTCAGATAGCCTGCAGACTGGGCCATAAACAGCCTCTTACCTTAGCGTTTGAGACTAATGTTCTGAGTCATCGTGGTCTCAGATCCACGCTCTATTCTATACGTGTGGTTGGTACGTGTTACAGACTGGCAGTGTTGGTTTAAGGTGTTTGACTTGTGCTGAGAGTCAGACCTGTCAAGTTAAAGCTCTATTTCTGAATATCTTATGGGTAGGGATGGGTGATATGAACAAAGAATGGTGGTGTGAATTATTTTATTTCATGATAAAGGTATTGGTATATATAAGTTGATGTAGTTGTTTTTTGTTTTTTTGTTTTGTTTTTTGCACAGATGTTTTTTTAATATTTGTATTTAGCATTAAATCTAGGGTAGGCAATTTCGGAAAAGCTAGAAATAGCAAGCTAGCTTTGAAAGCTTAAGATCCCAACCTCCCTTCTCGTCTCCTCCAAAACACATGATCCCAGCACTGTCAGAGCAGAGTCTGCATAAGCTTGTTGTTTTGGTTCAGAAACAACTGTAAAAGGTGGCTGCAGTTTGTTTGCAGCGCTCAGTATTGTCTGTCTACAACTCTGCATAGCCTCATGGAACGTGCTGATGACGTGTGATTTCTATGCAAGCAGGGTGCGTGGAGGTATGGAAATTCGGACCGAATCCAACGATTGAATGGACATTTTTTGGTCCTGAGCCTTCCACAGAAAAATAAATAGAAAACATTTAATTTATTTGTTATAATATTTCTCAATTTTATTTATTTTATAAAAAATATTAATCTGAATAAGTAAATAAATGTATTTTTAAATAATAAATAAATCTGACTTTTTGAATACTAGTGTATAAAAGTTCCTTCCTTAATTGATTAGTTGTCTTTATTCAGAACTTGATTGACACAAAAGAAAAAGATAAATAATAACAATACAGCTTCACTTTATGTAGCACTTAATGACAATTAAAGACAAAAGGAATCTGCACCACTCGCTGAATTAAAAATGCACAAAAAATGAATTCATCTCTGTATTCTGATGGAATGAATCACATTCAGAACTGTTCTAAAATAGCCAATATACTGTACACACACCAGTTTAATATTAACGCATCAAGTTGTAACATTACACTGCAAACATAACTTAAGTTTCTCATTTTTAGACATGTTTAGCATTGTATTTTCATGTTTCTTTGCTGCTGTCAAGTTTAAATTACATAAGCGGTCCTGCCCAGTGCCCACTGATAGCAGCATAAATATGTCTACCGGGATATAAAAAATCTTGACCAATTTCTAGTGTTGCATGTTATATATCCTCAATGCCCCTTATATACTGATGCTGGTCAGATTCAGATTCTCTTTACCCAAACTATTAATAGAGCTGCTGTAGTTCCTCTTAAACTGACAGCCACAGTTTTGCTTTTTCTCAGGCTAATTAAATAGTGTATATGTGGCGAGTAGCTGCAGTCTTTGTTGGGCGGTATTAATGTGTGTTAGTCTTTATGTATGCTTAGCTCTCTGTTGGTTGGTATGAAGTGTTTTGGCAGCTGGAGCTTGTCTGAATGCGTGTGTGTGGGCGGGATCTAACACAGACAGGCAGGCCTTTATCTGTGCTGACAGGGTAGGCGCAGCGAGAGACGTCCAGGCCCTGCAACAGCCTCACGCCCCCTTAACTGGCACACACTGAGTGTGTAATATCCAGGGAACGGCGTTGGTCTAATTGAGTCCTTCCCTGCTCCCCTCCTGCCTGCCTGCATGACATGAACCAGAGAACGTGAAACATTTCAGGAAATGTAATGGCCTCCAGTTAATTAAGTGAGAGAGCCGTGCAGTAAGAGCCAAAACCAGATGGCGCTGAATTTATGCTCGCCGAAATCGACGCACACAGCGGCGTGTACACAAACACATGCGTAATCTCGAACAATTTGCCCTCCGTTTGCCACATACATGATAAAATTCAACAATGTGAATTGTCTGTGTCATTACAGATGAATTTGTTGAGCAGAAGGCTCAGACAATGTAGATAAATGGCATGATTAATTGGAACAGAATGAATAACCCTGACTGATGTTGTATAAGCAGTGATTAACTCGCGCTCAGAGCTCAGATTGTTTTAAATAACAGGGGAGTTAAAGCCATGATTGCTGGGAGGTTACGAAATGATTGAAATCGCTCCTCTGCTGCTTATGGGAGAGAGAGAGAGAGAGAAGGAGAATCAAGGAAGGAGGAAGACAAGAACTTGGAAGAGTTGACTTATTGTGAGGATCTACCCAAAGGCCTTCTGCCTAGCGCTGTCTTTTGAATAATATTATTCATGTCTCAAAAGACACACAAGGAAATTGGAATCTTTTAACATGCCCCAGAACAAATTATCTTGGACTTTGCATCAGAAGCTTTCTTGTTTCCCTGTGTGTCGCGTGTTAATGATTCTTATAAAATAATCCGTCAGTTCCGGTCCTCCAATTTAATTGGCTGAGTGACGTTCCAAGAGCACTAATATTCAGTCGAACAGCACTGGGATGTTACACTGTTTGTATCACTCCTCGTGTCATTGTTTGCATGTTGTTTTAGGCTTCATTTGAAATTATTTTCATTCGGGATGTAGGATATATCAGTACCATATCATTATTGGATAATATTAGTTTATTTATTTATAAATTAACGGTATCAACCATTATAGGATATTTGATTGATATTTCTTTTTTACATTTGTTACTTTTGCAGTTATCATGCTCACTTAAAATGAACACTAATAATTAATGACACTGTTAAATGTAATTTTTACACTGTACATTTAAATGGTGTGAAGTCTAAATTCACGTGTAGCATTTAAATGATTGATTTTAGTTGTTAGTGTTTGTGTATTTTTTATTTTATTGATTATCATGATTAGTGTTTTATTACCATTTCAACTTTTTTTTTTCAAAATAGTATAGAATTTGAATAACTGCCAATTTAATTGTAACTTATCTAGAATTTTAATATCGGTGCATCCCTAATTTTCGTTGGCTGAATTGCCCAAATTGTATCTAAAATGCAAGTTATTCAAATATTAACTTTTTTATTGCACTGTTGTATTAGCTAGGTCAGCAGAATTCCAAAAATATTTTTTTTTGAATAAATAATTTGGCAAATGTGATTTATACTAAAAATAAAACTGCAGCAACTAACTAATTTTTCCATATTTAAGTAAAGTAAGTAAGTAAGTTTAAATACACAGATTTTCTGCCATAACCAGGACAGAAAGTGCAGAAAACTGCACTTCTGTCTGGGCCTAATTATGACTCTGTCTAGTGCTCTACATCTAGACTCATACGTTGACAGTAACCACTGTGCTTGCTTTGTGGAAGGATACGTGAGTGTTTGCATAACTACAGTAATATTTTCTTGTGCTCGAGTGTTTGTCCTCTACTGATTGCGTGTAGGTGACGGACAGTTCATGCAGGAAGCCCGAGGCAATGAGGGATATGCCAGACATTGGACCCCCCCATCTCCCAGCTGATTCAGACAGCTGCACGCACACACACTCACAAACATTGAGAGACAGATGTCAAATTCTAAAAAATCCTGTAGACAATCAAACACGGATATTTCCAGAGCTCTGAGCCGTGGCAGGCCCCCTCTGAGATGCTTAGATGTCTTCCTGAGACATTTGGTGATGTTTTACATGGTTTGCAAAAAAATGTTTTAAAGTAGTTTGGAAGCAGCTGTCTGAATTCCGAGCAGAAGGAAAGAGGGACAGGGAAAGAGAGAGAGAAGCAAGGTGAGGTAATTAAAACAGTGCTTGAGCTGGATGCTGTCAGGGAGACTCACGCGATGCACACTCTACACGAGTGCTTTACTGCATCACTCACTGCACTCAATTAAAGCCGTCTGTCTGCTCTCAACCCCTATAGAAGGACCTGCGAGACGGAGACAGTTAGGAGCGTTAGGACAAGTGATTTGCTCTCAGGGAGCAAAGATGTTAGCAAAAAAACTAACCAAGGTTCCCAAGTTATACATTTATTTATTTATTTTCATGTTTAGGTTTGGATGATACTTGAAACGTGTGTAATAAGGGTTCCCTATGGTAATGGAAAACTCATCTAATTGTTTTATTTATATTATTTAATTATTGAACTACTAATTGTAGTAATACTAATTCGGTTTTTGGCCGAAAGACTTTATCACCGAAACAAAACGGTCGAAATGTTGTGATGACGGAAACAGAAACCGCGACCTGCACATCCTTGTCTGAAGCAACATGTCTGCGGTGTGGAGGTATTTCAGTATAGCCCCTTTCACACAGAGATTCCGGAAAAATACACGGATAATCTGACCCTGAATTTGTCCCGGGATTGTTTGATTTTGGTTCATTCACACTGCCAGTGATTTCCTGGGATCTGTGAGTGCGTTCACACACATCCCGTAAAGATCCCATAAAGACACATGACGTCAGGATGAGACGTGTAACGTATGCGTCGAAAACATGTACACGCGCGTACCGTTCCACAAAGCTGGCGAACGATCTCAGCTTCAGCGCGGATAGTAAGGAGCTCCTGGTCTCTGCTTCGTTCCAGTTTGCAGACATTTTTTCGTTCTTCCTTTGTTGAGGACGAACACAAACTTTATTCTAAGAGCAACAGAGTCGCGCGATGGCACGTGCGTCATCACTATGACACACCCCTTACGGCATTGGTTGTGGCTTTTGTTCACACAGGGCGCGTTCCGGGACTGATCCCGGCAATGTTACTAGGTCCTCAACCCGGCATCGATGCCGGTATCAATCCCGGGTCATGTTTGCGTTCACACAGAAGGCGTTCTGGCAATTTGCCGGGATCATTGCGCTGTGTGAAAGGGGCTTAAATCTGATGGTGCGTTCACACCAAACGCGAATAGAGCGTCTGGCGCGAATTATTTCAATGTTAAAGGGGTCATATAATGCCATTTTTGTAAATTTAATGTGAATGTTTAGGGTCTAAATGAAAACTTTGTAATATACTTTCATAAAAAATTCTCATTAGTATTTTAAGAAAACACTAATTTTACCTGGTCAAAAACAGCTCTGTTCTCAGCACACCGTTTCAGTGCATATGCCTTTAAATGATAATGAGCTTCGCTGACTCCGCCCCTCTGTTCTGCGGGCGTTTTGCACAACGCACGTGGAGTGTTGCCTTGACAACAGTTGAGGGTATATTTTGGAGAGAGAATG